AGAGCAGGAGAGAAGCAAACAGATAAAGGGCGACGTGATGATGTCAGTTGTTTACAGTGATTCCACAACAGTTTTCAACTGTGTCCTCAATTTCACACATTGACCATATGCGTTCCAGGCTTATGCTGGGTTTTGACCGAGTCTTGTTAAAAGGTCCTTTATACAACAACCAGAGAGACATGTTCATGCCTGTCCAGCCTGCAGTCCCTCTACTCATTTCAACAGTGTCCAACCCAATCTGACAGCACAAATTACAAAATTTAAACCACCTCACAGATTGTAAATTGTGACTTTTAGAAAGGAGACACAAAAACAGAGCTTGAAAATGAGGTGACAAACCACTTTCTTGGGCTCATGGTAGAGAAGTGTGTGATGTGAAACGACAGGCAGGTAAACAAGCGGGCAGGGAGGAGGCTCCAGTAGTTACACACACAGACTGCAAGCCCCCCACCTCCCCGCCCCCCTGAGCACTTTACACCTCTGTGATATGAACTAATGGAGCTGCAGGACATTATGTAGAAACAGAGGACAAAGAGGAAAAAGATACGGTGAGAGGGTCAGAACAGAAAAAGAGAAAGAGGGGAAAAAAAGGACGCTAATGCCAAGTGAATGAAGGACAGAAATTAAACAGGGATGATTAGGGTATGAAAGAGAAAGTAGAATGAGATGATGATTAGCCGCAATCTAAGAAGGAGAGATTGAAGTAAGTAGTGCCCTCACAATCCCTCTGAATGGCAGGTTTGGTCTGACAAGTGATTACACTGCTCTGAGCCCACTTTTAGAAAGAAAGACGAGGAGAGGGAGCGATACCAAGACAAGGAGGGAGTTAAGGTTGAAGGGGAAATGGATACTGTGTTAGTTAGGATGTAAGAGGAAATGAAAAAAAAAATCCAGTGGAGTAAGAGGTGGCATCTGCACAATACTGTAGCATGACAAGTAAAAGTGAGCTGAGGAAAGTCTTAGACCACATTAATGGGTCAATTTAAATATATGGTATATTTGCCCATTCACCTCTCATGGTGTCTGACCAGGCAGATAGTTTTGATTTTATTTGCCAAGTTTTAGAGATATGTGTGTGTGAGATTTCTGTACACCTATCCCCCTAGAGGTAAGTGGAGCATCAGTTATGGTGAAAAGCATTGAAAAATTACATTTAAATAATTCAGCAGCAACAATGTCTTCATTAGTCAGGATAATTTGTACAGCAGAACAGTTTTCACTGAAACCACGTTCTGCAGACATAGCCAGGATTTCCGAAACCTCCCTCAGACAGTTAGGAGGCAAAAAGAATGTGTCCATATTTTAAATTATTTGGATTTTTCATATTTCATTCATTGAGTGAACTGTTCAATTATACATGAAGGTCTAAATGCTGTTTCAAAGCTTTCTCCTCATAGCCAGGATTAAAATTCTGGTGGAGAAATGCTGAAGCATTTTATCTGTGCATTAGTTTGCTGGCATAAAAGTAGTCAAATCTAAACCTGTTGAATCTAAGAATACTTATAAAACTACCAGCAATTTAAACTCCCTCCAGATTGCTAGTACATAAATGAATTGTGTTAACAGTCAATTAATTACCCACAGTGACCAAGACATTGTTTCTGAGAAGAGATGTTGCAGTTGAATTTTTTAAGTGCAACTTTTCAGTGCCAAGAGCATCACAAACTAAAGTCTATACACCTCCATTTTACAGTGAGGTGGAGGCAGAAACTTAGAAATATCTCAAAACTTTGGCAAATAAAACCAAAACTCAGTATCTGTATGGTGAGATACCATATTTTTCACACACAACAATTCCCATGAAAATAAGCCTACTGAAACCAATAATGCACTAGTTCACCCGTCAATACTTCCTCATGCACCAACCCTGTCCGTGGCATCCATCACAAAACCCAAGTTGCAAATACGTCATTAATATGTAATTTAATTTTCAGTAATTTCCTAAAACTCCTGGGCACTGCAGTTTTCAACGTTACTCAAACAGGAGAAAATAGGGCATGTGTTGGGGACTATTTTCAGCTGTGGATTAATATACATTTGAAGCTCTAGTGAATATTTACGGCAGCAGGACGGTGTATGTGGGATTGATTTGAAATAAATTACAGTGCACATGTTCTTAGTAATGAAGAAACCTGTCACCCAGAGCAACAGTGTGAGTCACTGATACATTTTGAATCATTTTTGAACAATTGACGTCTGTGACGGATAAGCTATATGAAATTTATTAGTAGAATTAAGTTTTTGATCTTTTCATGGGGTTTTGTTGACAATAAGAAAAATTCAGAATATCACCAGCCTTATCCTTTTTAAGACAGGAAGGGGGGTTTCAGTGTGGTGAACAGATGGCAGTATGGATACTGGAACGGTTTGGAGGAAATAAACTGGATCCACAGATGGAATAATAATGTCAGGGTAAATCATATGTACAGTAGCACTCATTTTTACAATTCATCTAAAACTCATCATTTTGAAGCTGAAACGCTCAAACAATGATGGGTCGTGATGGAAGGGTGAGGTTAGAGGTGAATGGTGCATTAGCTGTCAGTCGTGTGAGAGTACCTTCATTAACTCCCTGAATCGAATGCAGTGTATTTACTGTTGGTGTAGGTAATACGCCAGCCTACACACACACACACACACACACACACACACCCCTTATTTCCACCGCTGCCAATCCCTCCGCCATCACTTGACACTGCTATGTTATAACCTCATTACAGTGAAAAGTAGGTAACACATCATTTCTGTCCCTGTGGGTAAAAAAAAAAGGAGGTAGGGTGGGAGATGGGCTTTGATGTAGAGTGGAGGTAGCGCACCTAACCCGAGGAGTGCTCAGCCTCCTGCATGACTAACATGTATGACTGATTGCACACGTGGATGGATACAAGTAGTTCACATATATGTATGCTGGCACATGGACATCAGTGCATGCAAGTGTAAGTTATTCCAGAGGGCACATCTAAGCAAGTACTGAAGAGTGAATTTTTGAACTTTGACTTTCAATGTTAAGTTTTAAGTTTTAATTCTAAGTTCAGTACAAGTGAGTTAAAGATAATTGATTAAAAATCATGTAATCTGTGCTACTGTGATGTATGGAGGATCCTAGATTTCACCTCGATCACATTCTTTATCTAAACTGAAAAATTAGAAAACAGAAATGGCTGTTACTGAAAAGAGTAGTGTCGTTTTTGGGAAATTCACATATTTACTTTTATTGTGAGAGTGAGACAAGAAGATTTGGTATCGATCACACGTCTACGTGTGAAGTATGGAGCTGGAGTCAGAACATGTTAAAGCTCGCTAAACCAGCTGTGTCCTGGCACAGTGCCTGCTCACAGATCGTATCATCTCTAAGCTGATCTCTGAGCTGAGATGTTGCAGGGCAGAATTATTTATATTTTATGTTATACCCTGTTTAAATAAGTAAGCATTGAAAGCATTATTAAGTGTATTTCGAGCCATGCTAGTGATGTGTATTTGTGAAAAACTGAACATTAAATTTCTATTGATTTTAGCATGTACTGCTCTTTAGAAGAATGACCTTTACTATAGTATCTCAAAAATGTTTTCTCCCCCCAAAATAGATTTGGTTAATCAGTATCTGTTTGATAATTGTTTAATCATTTAAGTCATTTGTTAAGCAAAAATGTAATAAGATGTAGTAAGATGAATATCTTTGAGTTTTTCATTGTTGGTTGAACATCACCTTTGTCTAAGGGAAATTATTTTTTGCTATGTTGTGATTAATCAATTAATAGTCAGAATGATCAGCAGATCAAAAAGTGCTAGTTGCAGCCCCAAAAATCTTCATGACTCTCAAGACAAAATTCTCGTCAAATAAAAATAAGCAATCCACTTTCATCTTTAGCATACTTGAAATTATTTTTAATGAATTTAATAACTTTGGTGACCCCTTGAGTTTTCTTTTCCTCAACTGGTCAACCTAATTGAATCCAATACTTTGGTTTATGACTAAATACCTGCAAAACTAATGACATTCCCATCAGCTGTACTTTGCGTTTAGTGGTAATTAGCAAACAGTATTCAACTCAAAGAACCGCTGTGCCAAAGTACACCCTCACAGAGTTGCTAGCATGGCTGTAGACTCCTCACTCCTTCCAGTCTTTATGCTATGCTAGGCTAACCACGTCCTGCAGTTCTGTTCTTCCCATTTCACTCTTTTCATATTTCCCAAAATGTTGGACTATTCCATTAATCCAAACATTTCTTGAGCGACATAGACTATGAAACATTGGCCAGTGTTTAAGCTTGACCCAACGCCTCCAGTCATCTCAGTCACTTTTCAACAGTAGCCCATATTTCACTCTGGACAAACAGAAGACCCCAGACACGATGCTGTTCTCATTACAGCTCCTCTAGCATGTCGCCTCTGGACACTAACATTTGTGAATAATCCATCTTGACTTCTATGTCCCGATGAGTTGCTTGGCCCGCCCTTGACCAATCCATGACACGAGCCATCAGGCTCCTGAAGCTCCAAGAGCGCTTCTGACTTCGTCTCTTCCTTCTCTCTCGTTGAAGAAAAATGTTTTGACAGAAATGTCTCCGGAGACTGCATGAAATATCATTGAACCAGGTGGCCATCTTACCTGTTGGGCTGTCTGTAGCATACTAAATGTGCTAAAATAGCTTTGTCAGGGCTCCTTGATAATGACTGAGTCACCTTGTCTGGTTTTGAATATTCATAACTATTGGGGGAAAAAAACTTTTTGACATTGCATGGGAGTAAAGGTCTAGTCAAAACATCACATGTACAGTATATAATTGAAAAAATGTCATATTAATGCATATTCTTTTGTACAGTTACAAAGCATGAACAGAGAATACACTCCGAGCTACAAACGGGACTATATTTGTTTCTGAGGCTTGTAGTAGCTGGACACACTCCATCATCATCTGTGCCCTACCTTCCAGTTCTCTCTCATGCTGCATGACTCATGACCTTGTTTGCTGATCGGCTCCATGTCTCTGGTTTCCAGGACGACCACTCCATGTTTTTCCAGTTTGGTCCGTCCATCGAGCAGCAGGCCTCCGTCATGTTGAACATCATGGAGGAGTATGACTGGTACATCTTTTCCATCGTCACCACATACTACCCTGGCTACCAGGACTTTGTTAATAAGGTAAATAAGCAAACAAACACTCTAAAATACAAATATAAAATATAAATACAAACATGTAGTTTATGCACTGTACATACCAGTATATTACCATTGATCTGTTGCATTATCGCAGAGGTATACCACTTGGCAATAAGTTGAGGCTAGACTATTACCTGCAAAGATAAATGCATTCTTTTGATAAAAACTGACCCCAGAGGCAGCAGGACACTTACTACTTATAATGCTAATGGCCATAAACTTTTTCAACCATGAATACAAATGAGAGATTCACTTTTTCTTTGGGTCCCAGGAACATTAGGTATCATTACTTTTGTCTTTTGGGGACCCATTATAGGAGGCCCTGACACTTCTGGTAGTTTTCATGTTGTTTCTTTTTAGTTTTCTTCATTTATTTATTTATTTATTTATTGCAGTTTATGTAGCAAGGCTATATACAATTAATGAAATGATCCTAACAAAAGCAGCTATTTCTGGGAACATGATTGTCTGGTTTTAAGCCATTATTTCGAGCTTTTAAAAATGATAAGGTTTGGCAGAGCCTGATACAAGTGGGTAGCAAGTTCCATTTTCTGATTGCTTTAATGGAAAAGGCAGATTGGCCGAACATGTCCTTTTGAATGCAGCCACTCACTGAAGCTTCAGCATCCTTATCTACGGAGCTGAAAACAGACTCTTTAAAGCGGATGGTATGAGATGCTGAAGAACTTTGAACATCAGACACACATCTGAAAAGAATAAAACAGTTATTGAAAGTAAGCTAATACTTCCAAATAATAATATCGCAGCAATGGCAGTGTCTCTCCTTTGGTGTTAAAGTAACAATCTGGTTTTAAAGAAAAAACACGTTAACCATATAGATGGAGGTCGTGAGTGAGGATATCTAGTGCCCATGCTCCTCTGAGGTGCTTTACACAGTGAGCTTTATGTTGAAGGAATATAATGTATGACTCTCATATCAACTTGTATAGTTTATCGTCCCTACTGTATATCTGTGAAATATTTGAAAATATTTTGAAAACAAACAATTCAAAGCCCCAATGAATTTAGTAGCAAGAGCAGCTTAAACCAGTTTGCATTTGTGCAGCGAGTTATTACCAGCATCATAAATCTCATTCCATCCTACTGTCCTCTCAAAAGAAAAAATCAAGCATACATAAAAAAAAAAAAATCCAGGATTTCTTTTTCTTCTTTCAATATAAAAGAAAATGAGTGTTGTAATAGCATATAGTAAACAGAAAATGCTTTGCTTTGCCTGTTATTCAACTTATATACTGTAACTCCCTTTGAATCGATTCTCTATAAAAGTCAGGGATCCACAAATCTAAACATAGAGACAGCCCTAAAATCACTTCTTGCTGCACTACGTATTTATCTAATAGCCATGAGGTGATGTGATCTGGGATTACAAGTGCCCAATGAAAAATAAAATTGACAATATCTCCATGATAGTTTCATCTGCGTGTGTGTGTGTGTGAGGATATAGCTTTAAGATTTGGGAGAAAAGATTACCTAATCTCGCTCTTGTTACATTTACAAAAAAAATATCGACCAGTGCTTCCTACTCCCAAGAGACGTGTAAAGACAGAACAGTTTTGCAATCTGGGAGCTGGAGGAGGAGACATCTCAGTCGGTTTTGTTCCAGTATCTCTCCTTAACAACTCCACTGAATGTGTGCAGCCTACACTTTTTAAAATCACATCTCCCTTTCCTATCTAGGTCCGCAGCACCATCGAGAACAGCTTTGTGGGCTGGGAGCTAGAAGAGGTCCTCCTACTGGACATGTCCGTGGACGATGGAGACTCCAAGATCCAGAACCAGATGAAGAAACTGCAGAGTCCTGTCATTCTGCTTTACTGCACTAAGGAGGAGGCTACCACTATCTTCGAAGTAGCTCATTCTGTAGGTCTTACTGGCTATGGCTACACCTGGATCGTGCCCTCGCTGGTGGCTGGAGATGCAGACCATGTTCCCTCTGTCTTCCCTACAGGTACACCCAAACACCAGGGGCCGGTTTCACAAAGATTGACTTTTGACTATCTATCTGATCTAATGAAAAGTCAGACTTCAGACATCTAAATTCATCAGTTGCACAAAGCTGTCTAGTTCCTCACTATCTTAACGTAGGACTAATTTGCTATCAATTCTGGGAATGTAAGACCAAGCAACCGTGTCAAATGCTGAACTCCGTTCACGCTAGTAGAAAGTGTTTGGCTTCTGGAAGAATTCAGCAGTTACAAGGACATTTTACAAGGAAAAATTCAGCAAACAGTAAAATAAAAAATTGTCCTGTAGCATAAAATTTCAGTGCAGAGATGCTGTGTCTTCTTACAGTGCGTTCACACATGTATCTGGCCTCTCATGAATCTGTAGTTCTAGAGGTGTGTTGTGTTGAGCGTGTTTCGTGCATATTCTGCTCTGATTGGACAATTGTTTTCTGAGGTATCCACTGCTGCCAGACACTGCTGGCACTGCTGGCACTTTGTTTCCACCCATCTGTTCATGTCCTTTTACTTGTTAGATGCGTCATTGAGAATTGGGAAGCCACGACACTGCGATGATCAGCTTTTCCTCCATTTTTTTGTAAAGTCAAACAAGTTTCAGTAGTGAACAACTCTGTGCTTCAGTTTCTGCTGGAATCAAGATGATCGTGATTGGCTCTTGTCTTGCTGTCGCTCGCACTGTGTCGCAGGATATTTGCATAAAGTTGAGTCTTTCTCAACTTTTCCCTGTTGTGTAGCTGGGTGCTTCTCACAAGTCTTACAAGCTCAGCGGGGGGCACAGGGTTGCAAAGCTGAGTCTTATTCACAGCTAATAGCAGCCTTCGCTGTCCCACGTTTTTGAATCTGTATGTGTGAACGGCTTGGTAATGTGGTAAAGGTTCATTGGACAAATGAAAAAGATGATGATGTCCTCACTGCTGTATATTTCCAACAAGGTAGAGTGCTCTCTAAAAATTCTTTCCTTTCTCATTACAGAGGTTTCCATCCACTTGTTTTTATATACATTTTAAATTTGAGCTTAAAAAACTATGTGGAAAATTTGTGGGAATCTCGGAAAACGTTGGTGTAGAGATCAAGAAAAAGTGTGACAAAGTGTGATGGAAACAGACTTAGTGAACGACATACTTGAAGCATGTGACTTCAGTGTCTGCTGAAGCCTCTTCTCTACTGATGAGACGAAAAATGGTGGCAGACGAAATCAGATCTGTGTGGAGTGATGAGGAGACTGTTACTATGGAAACATGACTGTTAGTTGAGAGTTAGCATAGGGGCCAGGTGGCTAACATTTTGGCTTAAAATAAGTCAGTCTTTCTTTTTCCTAAACTTTGTGAATTGCTTTAGACTAATCTAAGAGCAAAAGTGGATCAGTCTAAAATATCTTTGTGAAACCAGCTCCAGATAAGTAGGAGGTGTTATTACCATTTCAGGGTTTAAATAGAGATCTCAAAGTATCATACCATTACTCACTGAAGAACCACAGCAAATTAAAAATCGCCAAGTTCATCAAGTTAAACTTTTAAACATCAAGTCACCGCTGCCAAATTAATTGTGATACTTTATTGATAATAAACAAATGAGACCAACAGACCTCTCGCTCTCTCTTTCTCTCTCTCTCTCTCTCTCTCTCTCTCTCTCTCTCTCTCTCTCTCTCTCTCTCTCCCTCTCTCTCTCTCTCTCTCTCTCCCTCTCTCTCTCTCTCTCTCTCCTTTCAATCCACTGGTATTGTCAGCAGTCTTCAAAATGAAGACCATCACTTTCCATAAACCCCTCTGCTTCCTATTGCACCTTGGATCATGTGATTTTTATTTTTTTTTGTTGGGACGGAGATGATCAACATACTGGGAGTGATTTCCTTTGGCCCGTCATAACTTTATTAGACATGACTACCTGCCATTGATACCGTTGATGATAAAACCTGACAGCTTTAAACTCCTGATCTGGAGTGATGGGGTCTGCATTACACAGTTATAGTTAGAGCTTTTAATAATGTATATCTTTGGTGCACTTTCACAACATCGACTGCTTTTATCTGTTGTATCTATTTGAATTTTATTCAAGAACTGTATTGCCAGAGTCAGCATCCCATTTTCATTTACTGAGGCTATCTTGTGGCTTGACAGAGGTTCAGAGGTCAAACCAGAGGTTAAACCAGGATCAAACTCATGTTAGCAACTACTCATTGAGCATCACACATAAATCTATATCGCATTATTCTGTGGTATGTTCTCAAAAAACTTTGTATTGATATGTGGGCACCAGTGACAGATGGGCTTGTTTGCATATATGCAAATGTTCTCCTAGTGTATTTGCAGTATGCTGTGCCAGTCAGTGGTAGGCTGCATACTAATGTCTGTTAACCTCAGGTAAGTAAGACTCTAATTTGGTGCTCTTTGGTAATTTTACATCCACTCCTTATGCAATACCTCACATAAATATGAGACAAATGTGGGATGACAAGGTTTACGTTTTTTTTATTGTGGCTATCAGTTCTAATAATAGTCTGAGCTTTGGCCTCACTGGAATCCATCATTAAGAGAATTCCCAGTGATGTTGTTTTGAAAATGTCTCCCCAGGGCATCGGGTCAAGCAGAAAAAAGACCCCTTTGTCTCTCCCTCGCACCTCTCCTCTTATCGAGTGAGTTTGAAGCAGGCCATTCAGACTGCAGAGCATTTACTCCTGTAGTTTCATTTGCTTGGGCACCCAATTTTAACATGTGTTTGAAACCAGAAATGGCAAAAAGGTTGCCTGAAAATGCAACAGATTTAAACATAATCCAAACCAGCGACGAAAAATGACCCGAAAACACAGTTGTTTATGGGTGTGAGAAATGGATGTTGACATTTGATAGCCAGCAGTTCCTCATGCTTGAAAAGTCAAGCATAACAAAATGAGCTGAGCGACGACGGATGCTCATATTTAGTTTTTTTTTTTTCATGTGTTTTCAACCTGTATGAGCATTTTTCTTTTTAGCAACATAGCAGGGTAAATAGCTCCACTCCGGCTTGGAACAAATTAAAATATTGTAGGTATGATTACACTCTTAATTTTGTCTCAATGTTTTGCCACTTCTCAGCGTCCTCTAAAATGCTTTCATTTTTGTATATCTTTTCCCCCTCTGGCTATTTTTCATTGCACTCTGCTTCCCTATTTGTATCTTCCCTCTCTTTCTCACACTTTTCTGCCTCCCTCCCCCTCCTTTTCATCTTTCTACATATTTCTTTCTACTACTTCTTTTTCTTGCTGCTTTCCATGCATCCTTTCCTCTCACCTCACTCCATCTCTCTCTTTCCCAGGGCTTATCTCAGTGTCATATGACGAATGGGACTACAACATCGAGGCCAGGGTACGTGATGCAGTGGCTGTCATTGCCACGGCGACCTCCACCATGATGCTGGACCGGGGGCCGCACACCCTGCTGAAGTCAAGCTGCCTCGGGACACCTGACAAAAAGGGCTCCAACACCGGCCACTCCAAGGAGATACTGAAGTGAGTCAATGCTGGGGGGATGGGTGGTGATTGGGAGGCAGGGCAGAGGGGCTGGAATAGACAAACATAAATATTGGTAAGATTTGGATTTCATGCCAATGCGTTGTGCACAGGGCTGTAGTATTTAAATGGTGGTGTCTCTTTTTCAGCCTTTACAACACCAAAAACACAAGCAAAAGTATAAGGAATACATTGAAATGTTTGTATATCTGTTCCAGTGTGAGTTGCAAGCATTAGTGTGCCAGGCTGACTAACTTAGTGGTAACCTTACAGTATTCCTAAAGGCTAGGGGCTTGTTATTTAGTATAGTTACAGGTTACTTAAAAAAAATACCCGTTAAGGGCTGGAACATCCATCATTTGGCAGCCACAGTGCCAAATCAGAAATCAGAGTAACGATAGCAGCTCAGTGTCACTCTTTAAATGATTTGGGGAGGTTTATACTCCAATAACTTTGGCCAAAGTTGTGTTAGTCAGCGTTAAAGTTTGCCAAACTTGGTTCTGGTTTCTGGTTGGTTCCACTTCTTTAAAAGTGCTTATGAGATGGTCGAATATAGCTTTGGAAACCCCCTCCCCCCCACACCTTTCTGACATCACACTTTATTTCTGACGTGAAACTGACAATCCAACAATCACACCAACTTCACGCCGTGACTGGTCAGCTGTTAAACAGCTGAGAAAGTAAGCTGATCTTCTCTTTCTCGCTCTTTTTTTTTCCCCCATTCCTGACACAACTATTTCTGTCCCTGTTAATGTGAACAACCCAGTGCAGCACTATGAATGTCTTCCACTGGCTGAAAATGTGCATGTTCTCAGTTTCAAATGATGCCATGTCTCCCGCTTCTCTATGACGGCTGGTTTTTCAGTCCGCAGGTGTAATCAGGTGTAAACCCCTGTGGTTGAATGAAACATCGAAAATAGTCAAAAACATTCATCACAACTTCATAGAGCCAAATGTGACGTCTTCACATGTCTTGTTTTGTTCAACCAAAAGTCCAAATACCCAAACAAATGTAGTTTACAATGATAAATGACAAAGAAAAGCAGGAAATCCTCTCATGTGAGAGTCTGGAATCGGACATTTCCGAAAACGAAGCATTAAAAAGTCAGCTGTAAACAGAGTTTTCAACCAGAGTTTAAGTGTAAACATTAGCTCACGCTAGCTACAACTGATAAAATCTGTCAGCCGCTAAATCCACTGTTGTTGGATGTAGATGAGAAGATCTAGGAAAGATGAGCTCTCCTGCTGAAAAAAGCACAGCAAAAGCAATGAGCCATGTTCACCTACTTTTAAAAGCTTTGAAATTTCTTTTGGTGCAGGAAATTGAGCCGGGCTTCTTGCACAATGCAAATATGGGCTGAAGCAGATGAAATCATTTTTTTAATTCATATTAGTCAGAGCCAAAGAAACTGGCTGGTAAAGCAACAAAAATAAATGTAGTTTGGTTTTTAGTTGCTGAAGCACAGTAAAAAATATCAGAGGGCGTAAAACAAGAACAACTATGCACAAATACACACAAGCATTAACAATGTAGACACCCTCCCTGAGGAGAGGCGGAATTTGTTTAACCAGCCAATAAAAACTTAAAACACAAGATGAGCAGAGACATTAACTCTCAGACTTATAACAACATGTCGTCTTATCTTTAGCTTAACCCAAAGCCATCTTTAAAGGAAAGCATCCTTTTTTTCCCTCTTCCTCTGAACCTCCTTGTTTTGCTTTTTGGCACATTACAGAACAAGCAGGAGAATTGGTATTCAATAATTAATCCCCATTTAACTTCATAGGGCATGCTTTTACTGTTCACATTGATCAGAGATTCCACAGCTAATTGAATGCTTGGGGACAACCGGATTAATGAAAAAAGAGCCAAAGAACAACAGTGGGGTTATCGCTAACATACAGAAAAACACACATGCAAATACGCACACATGTGCGCGCACACACACACACACACACACACACACAAACACACACACACACACACAAACACATGTCGTTGTAGCATGACATTTAACTGCTCTTTAGGGTTTAGTCCTATAAAAGCTTAGAATTACTCATTCCATCCCTTATTATATATACAGTATACAGAGCCTTACAAAGCGATGCGCCTGCCTTTCATCTTCATCTTTTTCTCTTTTTTTTTTTTTTAGCTAATATTAAATATTTTCTCTTTTTTGTTGTTTTGTTTTTTTTTCATGTCAGTTTGAATTTGAGCAGTGTGATGAACTAGGGAAACATTATGCAACCTCTGCTGCCACTACTGCATTAATATCCAGGTTGTGGTTGGTGTATTACTGTAAATTTTGGTCTTGTCTTTACTAGTGTTTTTAATATCAGGAGCACTTATGCGTGCCATCTACGATTCTGCCACCAACAGGACTGAGATAACAATAACATCGCAGCTATGAATATTTCAGTCCCCAAAGGGCGCTATCAGATACAGGGAAAGCTCTCAATCTTCCTTCAGGCACACACCTGGGACGCTGCTTTGCTGTGTGTGTGTGTGTGTGTGTGTGTGTGTGTGTGTGTGTGTGTGTGTCTGTGTGTCTGTGTGTCTGTGTGTCTGTGTGTCTGTGTGTCTGTGTGTCTGTGTGTGTGTTGAGAGTGGTGTTAATGTGTGTTTTCCGACCAGCCATTCCATTCCTTCTCCATTCGCCTGAGCGAAGGTAGAGATTTAGGATTGGTGGATCTTGGTTGTGACCCCAGAGGCTAGAAACAGCCTCACACACAAACACACATAATTCCACCTATTCCATCCCCTCACCCCCAGAGACTAAAGCAATAATAAGGCCATATGTCTCTGCGTGGTCCTGCATAGCTACAGGCCACAGTGGGCTGCATGCATGCTGGATTAGCATGCCATCCTGTCAGCGCTGATGGACGGAGAGGCCTCAGTGAGTCACGCTCTCAAATTTGTTTGGGGGCTCCTTGACCTTATGGGGCACACACACACACGCACAAATAAATACATGCATACACCACAAGCACTCATGCTTCAACACAAATAAGCAAACACACACACAGACACACACTCAAAGAAGCTCTAGAGGCCATCCATTGTTTCCTGCCTTACGGAGCGGACAGGAACACTGGGATAATGAGAAAATGTTCTCCAAGTGGTTTTGGATGAGGCGCCAAGGGGCTGATTTGTGTGTGGATGTTGCAGGGAAAGGGATGTTTTTTTTTGTTTTTTTTTATGATTTGTCTGACTCTGTGTGCGCTTGCGTTCAAATTCCTTCTCAAATCCCGGTGCTGGCATACACAGCCGCACCGGTAGATATGATGTAAGAGATGATTAATATTTTGCAGTCTGTTTTCTCTTTAATGTGATCATACGAGACATTTGTCTTCATGTCTGCGGGCTGGCTGCGTGCGCTCAGTCCGAGCCTTTCAGTAGAGCTCAGTAGACAGCCTTTTCTGCAGGCCATCTGACACTTGTGCTGCCTCTCATGAATGTTACTCTCATTCTATTTCACCTATAAAGTAGTTTTTCCTGCAGCGGGAGAGTGGTATTATTGCATTTCTTAATGGGCACAATAAAAGTGTCTGTCTAATAAATCCAAGCTCTGTTTATTAGAAGATGAGCTGGCCATCGCGTTGCGCTTTCGGGCATCTAGAGCGCAAATGACCGTGTCTTGTCACAGACCCTTCCTTGACATGGAAGTGGATCAGAGTATCAGTTTACACATCTGTGTCACATGCAGGTTGTGTCCCTCAGTTCCTGTTTCTTTTCTTCTTCTTTTTTTTGTACTTCTCTTTTCTTTTGTTAACCTCTTTTCCACCGAGGTCTCTGTCTGGACTGTGTGGATACCTCGCCTTTTGTTCTTGAATATTCTCTGCTTTTCTCCCCTTTGTTCTTCTTTCTTTGCCACCCTCCCACTGTGATGCTCCTACACCAGTCCATTCTCACCGAAAAAAAGCTCTTACAATTACATGAAGCTAAGACGTTGAGTCGGAGAGCAGTGATGGCTCTTTTCCACCCCCCACTTCCCTTACCCTCTCTCTTTCTTCCTCTGTCAAAAACTGTTGATCCTAATTTTCTCTGTACAAATACATTGTAAGGAGGGAGGATTAGTGCGTTTAAGGACAGGATTACTTATATTGAGCATGAATTCAATTTCGCTCATTTAACTCTGTCAACTCTGTTCTTTCCCTATTTATGACTAATTCCTTTGAGGAACATTAAAATGCCATAGAAGTAACCAATCAATATTTCACATGGCCTTTTGCTTATTGGAATTTTCACATATTGAATCAGTGAACACTGCTGCACATCTGTCATACTGTATGTGCTGCTCACTTCATGTTCAGCGCCATATGTGAGATTATTACATGATTCACTGTTAATGACCTTTATTTTATCATGATTATTTGTAATTATATAAATTCACTTTTTAATGACCCCAAGCTTATTTCTATGTTATAGCCTACTCAAACAGAAGAGGGTGAGGGATTTCCAATAAGTTTTATTTTAATTGAAGCGACAACAGACAAACTGAATGAATTTGTATCATAGATTTACTCAGCACTCATTCAGCAGTCCTGACTGTTACTGGACTTTTGAGACCAATATCAATATGATTTAAAAAGGGTTATAAAATCAGATAACACTATATTGGGTGACACAATTTTTTTTTACTTGGGCTGCAACTAATGATTGTTTTCATCATCATTAATCTGCTAATTATTTTCTCGATTAATATTTTTGTTTATAAAATGGAAAAAAAAATCATACACACACAATTTCCAGACGCCAAAGTTTTCACTGGCATTATACAAGACCATTTACTATTATGTAGGGCAGAGAAAAGCAGCAAATCCTCACATTTGAGAAGCTGGAAACAGCAAAGTTTTGGCATTGTTGCTTCACGGAAATTTCTGGATTATCAGTTAATTAATACAGATACATTTTTCTGATGGACTATGATTAATCGACTACTGATTTCAGTTGTAGTTTTTACGTACACACATAACGTCACATAGCATTTTTGCTAATG